ACCTTGCCTAAAGGAAGTGGAAGCACTGCCTCTAGCATGCAGTTAGAATGTGTGGCTATTTTTCCTGCAGCTTCTACAGAGATATCCCTTTGCACCAGTTTTTATAAACTAGATAAATCATCAGGAATGAAAATGAATTTTTTCCTACTTGTTTCTCACTCGGCTACAAGGTCCTTGGTCACGGTGTAGTGTTTCGTCACTCTCTGCCCCTGGCAGTTTCATTTGCCATAGAAGTGTGTGCTTTTGAGGGTAAACATGCACATGTATATTCAACACTAACAAATAGCCCATGAAGACCTACATAATATACCGTAAATACACTACCAATCAGGCCATAGATCTCAGATATCAGCCTGACGCCAAACTCAGGAGTTAAATCTTAAAAATGCATTCAAGTACCTTAAAGTAGTATTAAAGGTGACCGTTTTTTACCTTAATGCATTCTCTGCATTAGGGTAAAAAATGATCATTTCTTTTTTGTGTCCATCCTCCCCCTCCCCCCAATTCTTACCTGTCAGCGCTGTCACCGCCACTGGTCCCCGAAGCGATCGCCTGTTCCCCGAACTTCCTGGTTGCAGGGGGGAGGATACTGAGGGGAGAAGAGCCATAGGGTGCTTCTGCCATCAATCACCTATTAGGAAGGAGTGGAGGGGTGTGGCCTGCCACAGGGCTGTGTGTGTCTACGCACACAGCCACTGCAGGAACACGCACGCATGGGTGCCTCCATAGCAGCCACTTAGCTGATGGCGGCACCTGGGCTGGGGTATGAGCGCTGCAAGGACCCACTAGAAAATGAGGAATAGAAGCATTTTAAAGAAAAAGAACAGACGATTTATAAGAAGGTGGGCCTCCTAGATGGGAAAATAACAAAAAACTGAAGCTTCAATATTACTTTAGCTATTACCAAAATGTATTTTATTGGTGTATCACTCGGCTGTAGATCCTCAAATAATCTCTCAATTGGTGCTGACACTGTCCTTTCTTCTGTAGGGTGGCTACTTTTGTTCACCATGGTCCCTGTGTGTGTTGTAAAGTAGTCCCCACTCCAAGTTCACTCCCATGATGGACTACAATCTCAGTACAAATTAATAACCTAAACATGAGATTGTAGTCCATCACAGGAACGAGCGGTGGCTACTTTACAACACATGGGGAACAAAAGTAGCCACCCTCCAGAAGGAAGGACAGTGTCGGCACCAATTCAGAGATGGTTTGAGGGTCTACAGCCGAGTGATACACAAATAAGATACATTTTTGGAGATCGTTAAGGTACTTAAATGTATTTTTAGGATTTATCTCCTGGGTTTAGTGTCAGTTTAAACTGGTCGCACACAATATGATCTGATTGTACAATCTACAGTAGAATAACCAACTGTGTATTGAAGATGCCAGTGAAACAATCCATTCCATTTATCTGCGATCCTAACTGGAGGCCATTGCAGTACATAATTGTTAGTGTGTATAAAAGACACTCTGTACCATGTACATGTTGCATTACAACCTATAACATTGAGACGATTATTTCTTTACATAAACACTGATCACTTTAAAAGAAATTCACATGGTTTGAGATTGCAAAACATTATGCATTGCCCAACATTATAACTTGCTACTGTGGGCTTGTGATTTATAACTTTGCTCAGGAAGTTACAAAGTCCTGAAGAGCTTCACTGCTTTATGCAACCTATACACAAACCCACATAAATATGTTGTCATTTAGGGAAATGACAGGTTGTGTTACTTTGTCATGTAGGGCACAGAGAAACCTCCCATGACCTCAGCAAACCAGCTTGAAGAATTTGTAATTAAATGATAACGAAGGCCTGATGATCCATAATCACAAACAGGGCTTAAAGCAGGCGTCACATGAAAATGCAAGGTACCACTAACAGTAAATGCCCATCCCCCTAAGAACCCTGGGGGGGTGGGGGGGAGATATTGGAGAACAACAGAAAAGATAATTACCTTACACCCTGGCTTCCAGCATCCTTGCAGGACCCGGAGAACGCTGAGGAGCCCAAATCTCGCTAGAATGTGCTCCTGCACACAATGCTGGAATGTCTTTCTAGGAGATTTGAGATTCTCAGCTCTGCCAGGATCTCAGCGGATGGCTGAGCGACATCAACCTTGCTTAGGATGCTGGAAGCCATGGTGTTTGTTAAAGAAAAAGCCTAGGAATGTAAAAAGTTAACCCTTGCAGTGGAGCTACCCCTGCGCTGCAAGGGTTAACTGCATGTTTTGTTCTAGGGGCCTGAATAGAAAAGATACTGATCCTCGGTGCTCACCTCTTTTCCATACTGCTCCAGTTGTGGTATGTCCCTCGGTGTCCTCACATCTAATGCAGGTGAATGGACTGCATTGCACGTGATAATGTCAGTGGGGCTTAGACTGCCAGAGCCCAGGGGAGAAGGGGACTGGTTTAAATAATACGAAATCACCTGCACTCCATACAGCGTACAGACCTTGAGTAAGAGGTTGGTGCTTGAAGTGACAACACGGAATAGGGACTGGTTTAGCACACAGGTGGGATTGAGGATCAGGTGAGTGTCTTTTTTAAAAAAAAATGTGTGCCCCTAGACCAAAACAAGCAGTGAACCGTTGCTGTGTGGGGGTAGCCACTTTTTTTTTTCTCCCCTGGAGTTCCTCTTTCAATAACTTTTTTTTTATTTTCCTTTTATGTCTACTACTACTTTACTAAATGGCAATATCTTGCTACCAGGCCCACCTTAACAGCTAATATTTGAAATAGGGATGCACTGAAATTTCGGCCACAGAAACATATCGGCCGAATATGACAATTTGGGCAAAATGCAGAAAATGCCATCTTTCGGTCAAAATTGCAGTGCATTCCTAGTTTCTCTCATCCCTGCTGTGCACTGCTCTGTGTCCACTCTGACAGTGCAGCATCCAGCGGGGAGGAAAGAAACTGTCGGAGGAGGCCGTGTGGTGCAGGGAGGAGAGCTCGGTCTCATTTGACAGCTGACTCCTCCCCCTCACCACCCCACTCAGCCTCCTGTAACAGATCAGGAGAGCTGTGTGGGGGTGGAGTCAGCTGTCAAATGGGACTAAGCTCTCCTCCCCGCACCAGCTTACCCTCCTGTGACAGCCGATCCAGCATGGAGAGCGGTACAAGCAGTCAGTGATCGCTGAATGTTTGTGAATAGGTGGTGAGTTACAATGTACGAGTTATGAATGAATAGGAAGTAATGTAGATCACTTCCTATTCATTCATGATTGTGTACATAGAAACTCATACTATATCCTCAATGTATGAATGAACAGGAACACTCAGTATAGAGGATTCCTGTTCATTCAGAGCTGGGGCTGCAGAAATAGGGATTGAAGACTTTGTGTCCTCAATCTCTTTTTCTATTGTAAAATGGAAATATCAGGAGTCTGTTTAGACCTCTGATATTTCCCTGAAGCCCCCAGCAGTAGAGTTAAAAAAATAAAAAATATTGAATACAAATAAAATATTTAAAAAGGTTAGAAAAAATAAAACAATTTTCGGTTTCAGCCTGACCTTTTTTTTTATTTTCAAGTTTGCTCTAAATTTCAGTGCACCTCTAATTTTAAATCTTCAAATTATATGATTGCATTGATGTCACCCATCCATGTAGTAATAGTGTATTTTGCAGCTTTTATTTCATATTTTACTTACACAGCTCAGCCATATACTTACTGAGCTGTATGAAAATCATTCTGTGTAAATCTGTGAGTAGCGTTTCTGTATGAGCGATCTGACTCAATTCTGCTGAGCAGTTATCACAACAGCTAAAAGAGAATGTATGTTACTGCATACATGGGGTCAGCAGGGAGTGGGAAGCTGGCGGAGTCTGGTGCACATGAGGATTCCCCATAGTGTCACCCTCCGTGAAATTCAAAAAGAGATCATTCAGCCTTGTAGGAGAACTAAAATATTGTATAGAAGCTGTAGACCACATAGAATTTCTTCCTACAAGCCTGTGATTACCAATACTAGAATATGTACTGAGAGCACTTACTAGAGCATTACCCCACCCTCCAGAAGAGTTCTATGACCCATGAGATGAGTGGACATGCTAAAAGCCACTACAGACCTCAGCGGCTCATATGTAGCAATGCAAAGATCATCTAAAGTAGGCCTACTGATCAATTTTTAACCAGAAAATGTGCAGTGTTAAGGCAAAGGTGACATTTTTTGTACATTGAATGGGATCAGTCTGGGTGTGAAAATGCTCCTAAAGTATGTTTGTGTGTGTTAACCTTCATGACGCTTTTCTCTTAAGTCTGTAATACATGTGAGTGTGCGTAAGAATATTTAGGTTAACTTGCGGAAAAAGGTAATCAAGATAAGGATTGTAGCAGATAGCTGGAAGCTGTCACATCATACTTTTCTTGTTTTACAATGTGTCACTGTAGCCAGACTAAAGCTGGGAACCCGTGGAGCACATTTCGGCCAATTTAGCAGAAATAGGCCGAAATTTGTTCCGTTGTGGACCCATATGCCCTCAACAGAAGTCCTGTGATGGACTACAATCTCGTGTTTAGTTTACTCATTTGTATTGAGATTGTAGTCCATCACGGACATTGTTCATAGATTTAACCCCATTAACTATTAGAAAATCGAAAGAACGTTCTTTCGATTTGATAACAACATTCTACTGGTGCATGGTCAGCTTAAATCAGTTTTCCCAAATATCAACTGAGGTTTTCAGAATTGGTATTTAACACTCTGACCACCTTTCCACATTCCACTGCTGAGCCTTACCTATTGGTCATTCAGGAACCAGGCTGTGCATGGTAGGATGCAGGCCTGTGTACCTATTCTACACTATAAAGTAGGAAGTATTTGAGGGAAAGGGGCTCCACTTGATCACTGTGAAGCAATACATATGAGCTGGCAGCTTTTGCTATCAATTAGCTGTTCCAGCTGTTGGACTGTTTGGTTAGTGGGTATGGGTTTCCCTCATATTAGTTATACAAAAAATGTAATTCTGTTTTTTTTCTTTTTGTTACAGTTACAATAAAGTCAGACACTGAAAAGGGTAAGTAAATCTTATTTCCAAGATTTATTCAAAAAAATATTATTGTATATTATATAAATTAGGTGTATTGTCTAATTTATTCCACAATGTTTACCTTTTTCCTCTTAAGTTATACAGTATGCGTAATACCATTGAGCAAACTGTATGTATCAAGCAGTGCTCCCCCTGGGTAAAATGATCCAGCTGACATTATTTAAAATGGACATTTGACAACCAAAAGCTGTCTACAAGCAGGCTATAAACAAAATCTAGTGACATAGTTGGGCCCCTTACTCCCAAGAGCTACCAGTATTGCATTATGATAGCATCAATTTTCAGTGTTAGCTAGATTAGCTCCTTTCCTAGATCTAATATTAAGGTGAATCTTTATTTTATCCATACTTCAAGTAACAGATCCACATTACAGGAGGGATTTTAAGCATCGTATACCTTCCCTGCGCTACCTTGCCTCTATGGTCCACCAATAGACCACCCAGACTTGCCGAGCACGTCGAAACTTAAGCCAGGATGTGTATGCTCCCGTGCATTCATGTGACCATCTGGAGGACTTGGAAATTGGCCACTCGTGTACTGATTGCTGCAATGTGGTGAGACAGGAGAAGTACCCCCATAACCCTATATACTAGGTATTTCTCAGGCAGTCTGCTGCTGGATGGGGGTGGCAGTTCAGACCATAGGGAAGGGAAGTATAGCATACTTAAAGACCCTGCTGTACCTGTTACTTTGTCCACTATAGGGAAAAGTACCAGCTCAGTTTAATCCATAGGGTATAATGCTTTAGTATCTGTGGACATGATGGTGCCAGCCAAGAAAACAAGCTATGCTAAAAAAAAAAAAAAGAGTCAGATCACCGGGTTTGCTGACCACAAGGAAAATCAATTGGTGTTCTGCTACATCCGAAAAACCACGTCTAGGAGCTTCCCCTGCTCCCTAGTGGTCAAAGGCTGATGTGAGGAAAGCCATATAGCATGGACTAGGGCTGCAACAACTAATCGATTATAATCGATTATTGAAAAAGTTGTCAACTTTTTCAATAATCGATTAATTGGCTTCCGATTGGTTGGCCCTGTTCACGGCTCAACACAGCTGCGCGACACACCTCCTCCCCACCTCGCGCTCGCCGCTGCCAGATCCGCCCGCCCGCATTTACGCTCCACACGCCACACCTCCTCCCCACCTCACGCTCACCGCCCGCCCAAATCCACGATCGGCACAGGGACGCAGGGAGAAGAAGTAGGGAGGAGCAGGTGTGGGCGGATGACAGCCGCCGATAGACAGGCCCGATCTCAGAAACAAGTTGCTGGAAGAACGGTTAGGTAAGCGTGCCATTGCTGGGTGTTGTAGTCCTCTATAGCTGGAGGTATTCTGCATTGCGCTGTATAATGTATTGCTGGGATTTGTAGTTCTCTATAGCCGATGCCGTTCTGCATTCATTGCTGTATAATTTTACACTTTTAATTTCACTATATTGCACACCACACTTTTTGTTTTTTTCTTCCACCGCTCCAAGCTTGCTCCTGTGATGGACTGCAATCTCAATACAAACTAGTAGTCCATCACTGGAGCCATTTTTTTTATTTTTTTTTAACCGATTAATCGAACTTAATAATCGGCTAACTAATCGATTTTGAAAATAATCGTTAGCTGCAGCTCTAGCATGGACTGCTTGATATAGTGCTCTGAGCCATCAATTATAGGCCACCCTGAGCCTATATAGGCATTAGTACATAACTGTATGGATCGTCAATACAGGTTCTGCTATTTGAAACTTGGTTCCACTTGCTTGTCTATGCTATTATGAATAATGTGTACATTTCAGATGTACCTTTTTATGTTGTATACAAATGCTCCAAAAATGTAAGACCCAGACACAAATGTTTGCATTATTGAAAACACTAAAACAAATTGAACAAGAAAACAGTTGGTGGATAACCTGTCTCTGGTTTCTTAACATTAATAAAAACACTCACAACTGAGAATGATACCTTTTCTTCCAGACAATAGAAGGCAAGTGGGGAGATTTGTCACACTGAAGAAGTACAAACAGTTATTTTGGGAGAAAACTGTAGTATATTTATACTGAATGTATTATTGTGAACTATTTTAAAGAGCAGCTGCAGACAGCAAAAGAAATTGGTGAACTGATAATGTAATTGAGAAGAGAAAAGATACGTCCAAAGACAAGCATCTCTCCTGATCAGCAGGTAATCTATGCATGTATGATTACATGTGGACAGTCACGGAGAGATGCGGCTGCTGTCAGCCTGTCATTAACTTGAATGGGTACATGGGAATTCGCAGGTTCTTGCCTCTGAAATCCCCAGCCACAGCCTTGAGCGCCATGTGCATGAGGCCTAAGACAGCTTATGTTTTTAGTTTGATTCTTTACAATAAATGATGCAACTTTAACATGTAACATTTTATTTACCATATTTTTTCTGTATTTATAGCTATCTACCTGGTGTTTTTTCACCTGTTTTTTATAATGTTTGTGTGGTCGTATTGGAAGACAATATTTGCACGGCCAGTTAACCCAACCAAAGAGGTAAGTCTACAGGAATAGAAAAAGAAAACAACTAAGTGTGACCTGAAGTGTTACAGAAGTCCCATCATATCTGTATAATATGTATATCTGTAGCTAGTCACTTACTCTTCCACTGGCTGCAAAGCCTGTCACAAAAAGAATAACACTGTTTCATCAGGCGGTAGGCCAGTGGAGAAGTTGGAGTTCACAGCACTATATTTTTAAAAAGAATAATGGAATATACATTCTACTTGCTAGATATCCCCCCAGAACTCCCACTCCCAGCCATTATAAAGCTCACTGAAGGTTTCATACTCCCCTAATGGACGCTACATAATATAGAATAACCATATCATTGGGAAGTCCAACTGCAAGCATGACCTATTTGCTATGGGCTTGTGGAAACTGGTAGGGGTAGTAAAGTAGGAAAATGGTACAGCTAGAGTCTCCTGAGAGATAAAAGATTAAGTCTGGTCATGAATAATGCAAATTTTTCCTGAGAAGTCGTACAGTTGGTGCCGCTGTCGCCATCCTTTCGGCCGGCATCCCTCGATCAGCCGTTCAAAGGAGCCAGTCGGAAAATCTTCAAATGAACAGAGGCGGCAACCGCCGTGGCTGTCGGAATACAAGGGAAACGGCAGGGGACTCCTCGATTAATGCCGATTAACGCTCCTAAGCTTTGATGGAGTAACCTGTCCTATTTTTTTCCGTTCCGCCTGCAGGTTAAAGGAAAAAAATAGAACAGTGTATGGCCAGCTTAAACCTACCCTAGTTGCCACCCAAAACTGGTAAACATGAAAATATTTCTGCAGGTCAGAATGGTAATTTTGTAATAAAAAGCAATGAGATCTGCACATTTATGGTTACATGTCATATGTTAAATTTGTTTCAAGTGACCATGTCGCTTATACTAAAGCTCTACAGGAAAACTACACCTGAAAAAGAAGAATGCTGCAAGCGCTATTTTGATCGGACTGGACCGCAGACATGTGCCTTGCGATCCCGTGCGGCCGATCTCATTGCGGCCGGAGGGCGTGCCTAGGTGCCATTCACTTCAATGGCCCGCCACACCCCCTCCTGCCCCACAAAAAAGTGAGCCAGCCGCAATGCGAGGCAGTGCGTTCTGGACAGAATCGGGCCGGAACGCACTGCATCTGGTGTGAACGGGCCCTTATACTTGGTAGCATGACAGTCACTTTAAAGTAGTATAAAACTCTCCAAACTTTTTTCAATAATGAATCCAGATCAAACAAATATTCTGTATATTGCCCAGCAAAGTATTTCTTTAAACTTTTGCTCAAGCACTTATAATCCATCATGTTTCTTAACATCTGTTTCCAACTCTCTCAGCTCCGCTTCTCTGAATTTCCTGTCCAGTACAAGATCACAAGGGACAGAGCAGCTTCCAGCAACTGTCCATCTAAAAGCATGGAGGAGGGAGGAAGGAGGAGTGTGCAGAGGGGGAATTGCTTGTCGAGGGGACACCCACTCTACTAGCACACACAAGGGTGTCTCCATAGGACCCTAGAAAGGAGTCACCCTAAAACAGGATATCAGGGCCAATGCGTAGGGGACTAGCTGATTCTAAAGGTAGCTCCGTCTTTTAAACATCAAGGAGCAGCATTCATTGCAAGTGATTTAAGTAGCATTTGAAATAGCTTAAGAAGAACATTTTGACTTTACTATCACTTTAACTTATCCTGTGTTAAGTAATCTGAACACTTTAAGGGCCCATTCACATCATAGTGTTGAGTTAATCACACAATACCGACTACTTTTTTCCACTGCACCACAACGCATGGTATTGCGGTACCACATGGTGCGTTGCAGTGCATGGGGAGGTGCTTGGGGTGCCATTTAAACCAATGGCACTTAGCACACAGTAACAATGCCATGTGTGTTGTGCGATAGCTGTGTTAATCGTATAGTATGGTGTGATTAACACAATTCTACGGTGTGAATGGAATCTAAAAATGACACTCAGGATAAGAGAGGTTAAAGTTTTGGCTAGCAATTACAAAGGTCCAACAGTACAGCCAATTAATCTGAAAGCTTGCAAAACAACCATAAGTCTGCTGTCCACACCATTTTTCTAGACAGCGTATTCATCTGTGGCATACGCTGTATCACTGTAATACCCTGTAACACTGAGTGTAGCGCTCTCTGATGACACAAGCAGCAGTAATATACAGGGGGAAGACATACTCTAATCAGACATGTGCCTGACTAGCTGCGCCTGTTTCCTGATCAGTAACTGTGTGCTGTTTACACTCTGTGTACCTTCATGTGCCCCTTGGGAGCAGGTGTTGACTTATCACTATTGACTTTATTTAATCTGTGTTAGTCACACAGTATAATATTTACTTTCTCCAGTGGCCATTCTAATGTTACCCCTTGTCTTTATTTTAGTTCTGTTTATCCAAATCTGACAAGGAGCTGTATGAGAGGGAGGAGAGGCAGGAATTCCAGCAAGAGATCCTCAAACGAGCTGCTAAAGATTTACCCATCTATACCACAACGGCTACAAAAGGTGCGTCCTTCCTCTGACTCTGTGTGGATGAAACAGCAGGTGGTCATAGTAGTTCCTAAAACATTGAAAATACTGTCATTCTACCCCTCCTGCTTAAGGTGGCACTAAACTCATTAGTTAAATCTTAGAAATACATTCATGTACCTTAACTATTAACAAAAATGTGTCTCATTTGTGTATCACTCGGCTGTAGATTCTCAAATCATCTCTGAATTGGTGCTGACACTGTCCTTCCTTCTGGAGGGTGGCTACTTTTGTTCCCCATGGTCCCTGTGTGTGATGTAAAGTAGCCACCGCTCCAAGCTCACTCCTGTGATGGACTACAATCTCATGATTAGTTTACTAATGTTTATTGAGATTGTAGTCCCTCACAGGAGCGAGCTTGGAGCGGTGACTACTTTCCAACACACACAGGGACCATGGGGAACAAAAGTAGCCTACCTCCAGAAGAAAAGACAGTATTAACAAACCTGTATCTTATTTGTGTATCACTCGGCTGTAGGTTAGGCTGAACTCGATGGACTTGGGTCTTTTTTCAGCCTATGTAAATCCTCATAGAGCCACCGCTCCAAGCTCACTCCCATGATGGATTACACTCTCAATACAAACTAGTAAAACCAAATGTGAGATTGTAGTCCATTATAGGAGTGAGCTTGGAGGGGTGACTACTTTACAACACACACAGGGACCATGGGGAACAAAAGTAGCCACCCTCCAGAAGGAAGGACAGTGTCAGCACCAATTCAGAGATGATTTGAGGATCTACAGCCGAGTGATACACAAATAAGATACATTTTTAATCGTTTAAGGTACAAGAATGCATTTCTAAGATTTAACTCCTGATAGTGCATGCACAATTTTTTGCCATCGTACTGCACTGGACCGCAGTGCATTGTATTACCCCGCAGTCCTCTGCGGCAGCTTGCACTGCGGTCAGGGGGGGGGGCCTGTCTGCAGTGCCATTGACATGAACGGTACTGTCACGCCCCCTCCCTCCCCTGAACTCAAGGAGACTTTGTGTATGTGATCCCTTGCGTTCCGGGCACGGAACAGGTCGATAAGCGCATGGGCTGTTGTAAAAAAAAATCTGATTGCACTGGAACAAAATGCAAGCATTGTTTTGCCACGCATTCTGTTGCGGGCGATTGCACTGCGGGTGGGGGTGCGTGGCTGCGGTGCCATTGACTTCAGTGCACCGTCACGCCCCCCTCCTGCCCCTGAACACAGGGAGCTGGCCGTGATGCGATACAGTGCATTCCAGCAGCGAAACGTGCTGGAACGCACTGTATATGGTGTGAACTAGCCCTCAGGCTTTCCAAACAAGTATCAAGAGAGATAACCTTAACACATTGAAATGAAACCATCACCTCTGTTGTAACAGAACACAATCAAGCCCGTGTCACATAGGTAACACGTACATAGTACATAGGTAATCCTAGCTATTCTGTTGTAGAACATAAAATCACATTTCACCTGATTGATCATTCAGGTCTGCCCTGTTGCCATGGAGTTTTTATATCCATCTTTAGGATTCTGACTTGTGAGTGATCATTGCTGCACCTGAACCACTGTGCTTTTAGTGATCCCACACATGGAGCTGATGTCAGAAGAGTGTTCTTTGTGCCCTGACAGAACTTTTTGGTAGCAAGGGATTTTATGGAAATCTCTTATTTGTATTTGAAAAATAAATAAATAAAATGGATAACCGCTACACAAAATCCCTATCTGTCGGCATCCAGCTGTGCTTTCCTAAAATTGCCAGTTCAAATGCTGCTTATGTGATATATGGCAGACTGACGGCATTCTGTAACCTCTCCCCTAGAAATCTTAGTTCCTGCTTGTGTAATTGGCTGACAGTTTTTCCTTGGAGTCTACATAGTGTCAGTTTAAAGGCATCCTGTGCAAGAAACATTTCAGTTTTGGTACAGACTCTTGCAGGCTAAAGGGATGCAGTGCCTCTTGCTGGTGAAGATGAAATATGCTTGGGTCACTGCAGTCCGCATATCATTCTTGGGGGTTATATGACCTAAAAGATCTTTGATTTCAATAGGGATTACTGTTCCCCTCAGAGTTGGGAATAGCAATTGTCGCCAAAATATGTTATTTCCGTGCTTCTCAAATTTCTAAGTGTAGGCAGCCTCAAGTGTGGCTCCTGAAATCACCAACACGGGCACAAATAGTCTGAATATTATGTAATGCTACAGAACTGTGTCCATTCTACAGGAGATGGTCAGAGACTGCAGGCATGCTGCAGGAGATGGTCAGAGACTGCAGGCATGCTGCAGGAGATGGTCAGAGACTGCAGGCATGCTGCAGGAGATGGTCAGAGACTGGGAAATTGCAGCAGGGGACAATGCTTCATTGAGTTCTGGCTGTGGCAATGAATATATTGTGGCATGTTGCAGTGGTCTTGGTATTCAAGAACTGTAATATCATAGGATAGTGCATATGGTGCTCATATTAAATTTCAGAGAGCACTATCTCTGACCTTTTTATAGTATCGTAGGACCCAGCAAAGTGAGGTGAGGCATTCCAGGCTTTCTTTACATTACTGGTTACATGGTGCAGTGCAGCAGCATATGTCCAAGAAGACATCTCTTTATACCGCTCCCGGTCACCTTCTGCTGGGGCCACCAAATAACTGTCAGGAGGCCACAGGCTGAAGACCAGATTGCTAAATCTTCTGATAAGGAAAACATTGCCAAGTGTTAAGCTGCCAGATATACATTATGATACTGTGATATTAATTGTGACATTATATTATTACATATAAAATGACTATAAAACTGCGAAGTGAATAAGCTATTCAAACAAAGACCGTAAAAGCCTAATATATAATATACTCTTGGCAGTTGTGGTGCATGCTTGTGTGCATTCCTCTGCTGTATGGGTTGGGAATAGATGAGGTCTGTCTGGGTTTCATATGCTTAGTGGTCTGATCTGCACAGTTGTTAGACTGTGTGTGATGGCCTATGAATGGAAGTGACATTAGCCAGTGAGGGATGACAATGTGTGGACGCATTAGAGTCATTAACACTATCTCCTGCCAGATCCAATATACACCGACAGTAATAACTGCTGAGTGTGTACTATCATTCTCTGAAAATGTTGGTTTAATAGGACCCTGAGCTCTATCTGTGGATCCCCCTCCTAGCTGATTACGTCTTTGGGTTTGGCCAGTAACCATGAGTCGGGTGGAGCGATGCCTTACATAAATAAACCAGTTGCTCTGAAATCTGTAGCTGCATTTACTTTAGCAGTACTGGGAGTCTGCAGTGGTTTGGTTATAGCACTGCAGTATAAGTCATATGCTTTGCAGGCTGCATTGCAAGATTTTGTGCTGTAGTAAGACAAGTCTATTGCACTTATGGTACAGCATAGAAAGCCAAGGCCAGTCTAATTCTGTATTTGAGAATATATGGATTCATATCTACATTATAGGAGATAACTGGCTGTACAGTATAGGAAGTGGAATCATACTAACCTTACAATTAGGGATGCACGGATACCGAGTATTTGGGCGAATACTTGTACTCGCCCAAATGCTCCGATACCTTTCCCGATACTGGAACTTCCGGTCAGAGGGAGATTTCCTCTGACCGGCGGTGCCGCGAGGGAACATGGAGCCAGGAAGCTGGCTCCATGCTGATTGGCCAGCTCGATGCTGATTGGCCGGCAAGCTGGCTTCCCAGCCAATCATTGTTGAGCCGGGCAAACAAATCTGATATGGCGACACGACCCCCACCCTGCAGACACCTCATTCCCCTCACATCTATCCTCAGCAGCACTCATTACCATAGCAGTCCCTGGGCCAGCTGGGCAGACACCGCTCTCCAAGCTGTCCGGGATCTGCCCACGTCTCCTGTGACGCATGCGCAGTGGCAGGCTAATGGCCGATCATGTGGGCGCTGCACACAGAGGAGACGTGGGCAGAACCTGGAGAGCGGTGTTTGCCCAGCTGGCCGAGGGACTGGTATGGTAATGACTGCTGCTAAGGATCTATGAGGGGAATGAGGTGCCTGCATGGTGGTGGTAGTGTCACCATATTGTCAGATCTGTTTGGCCGGCCTCGTTGCCGATTTTCCTTCCCAGCCAATCAGCATTGAGCCGACCAAACAGATTGGAGTCGGCTTCACTCGATAGTGAAAAAACGGTATTGGTGCATCCCTACTTACTATGTAAAGGGGCCAGGCAGTAGAGGTGAGGAACTAAGAGAGGTCTTGCAGTACAGTATAATACAGTACAAGCTTGCCTGTATATTATTTGGGATAGTAGAATACTGGCTGCACGGGGACCTTTCTTCCCAGGGGCAGGGAAATAATTTTTTAGTATAGGAGGGAAAAAGATACTCCCTGTGCATCTATAAGATACCCGCTTCTGCAGAGTGGGAGAAGTAGGAGGGTGATGCTGGCTGCACAATATGGGATTTAGGAGAATGCAAGATGTATAATGTAAGAGGTAGGTGGGTAGTAGCTGTCCCTTATGTAGAAAATGGTAGTAGCCTAGCTGTACAGTAAAGAAGGTAGGTGGAGACCAGCTATATAGAAGGGGAGGTAGGTGGGGCCTGGTGGTACAGTAGAGGAGGAAGATGTGGGTTCTGCACAGGGGCGTAACTAGAAATCACAGGGCCCCATAGCAAAATTTTGTATGGGGCCCTGTGATTTCTAGTTATGCCCCTTGCAGAGCCCACCTGATATACCAAACAGCCCACCTGAGAGTGACCCTGCCATAGACTCTCCTATGGCTGGCTCTGCAGCGTCTCAGGTGAGCTGCACACCTCTTACCTGTCAACGCGGTCCGCCTCCGTGGTCACCGGGCCCCGCCTCCTCTTTCATCGTCGGGCCCTGTCTTCTCCTCTATCGATGGGCCCCGCCTCCTCTTACATCACTGGCCCCTCCTGCTCTTAGGTCGCCGGGGCGGGCTCGCCTCCTCCACTGCAGACACCGGGTCCAGTCTCTTCTGCAGCAGCTGCTGGCTGTCACTGACACAGCTCAGCAGCGGATGTGAGGAAGAACGCGCCGCTGCACACATCACTGACAGCAACCTGATATGCCATAGCGGCCCGCACGCATCAGAGGGATGCCCTGGCCGGGCCCCCACCCTGCCTGTGGCTATGGGCAGCGGTACCTAGAGCAGTGTGGTAACACACAATAAAATATCTCAATCTCTATGCATATTTGTTGGGACCTTTTACTTACATATACAGTATATGTGTGAGTGTTAGTAGTAGCTCTGTGTAACACTAAGAACATCATTCATACAATGGACTTCATTATTGGCTTCAGTGGTCCTTTAATGCTGATTTAGCTGCTTTGTATCTGATTTATGGATACTGATTTTAGTTCTCCATATAATTAACAGAGACAGGCAGACATAAACCGTTCGCTGCAGAGCTGATCAGACTGGAGAATATGGCATGACATCAAGTGAGAGCAGAACAGAGAGATGACTGTGCCAGTATCACAGCTGCAGTCTGGAGGTTCATGACACTTTGTGATGTCACTGACCTCATAAAAACACCGCCATTTATTTTCCTGACCGAAGTGCCGTTCCGTGCCGTCTATCCAGCATTGTGTGACTGCCTCTTATTCTCTACTATCAATAATCATTCGATATATAGATAACTAAAATAATAATGATATATGCTGCTGACAAATGCTACAAAAGCTGACAATAGATGTTCAATTTTTATTAGGGTTTGTACATTTCCTTATAGTAATTCATTCATTTATTGTTTTCTTCTAAAATGTTTATATTAGTTATTTAGAGAAGAAGAAAAAAAGTAATTTCATTGAGTGGATTATGTGTACAGCCAGCATATGATATGTTGTACAGAGACTGATACCAGGTCAAAATTCAAATACTTATACTGCTTGCAATTAAAAATACATTTATTGATGTATTGGAGCTGAATTCCAGCCTTACCTTTTCCCTTACTTTTATAGAAAGTCCTCTCCTGTGTTTAAACAAAGTACTCTCAATTCCCTGCAAACTTGCATCTCCACAATGTAACCCTTTGAAGCTGCCGCAGCTATTTTGTGCTCCCCTTGTCAACCATTTTGTTCCTGAGCTTTACGAACAAATGCCTGGAATCTCTTTAGTCTTGCCTGCAATCAGCAGATTGCACAGCTAAAGTCTGCAGACGTCATTGCCAAGAAGGAAGCAGCGGGTACATCTAAAGGGATGTGTTCTTTCGATTATTTTTCTTTTTAGAAAAATAAGATCAGTGGAAGAAAGATGAGACATTTACAGGAGCCTGCCGGCCCCTCTTACCAAACTCAGAGCAAAGAGCAGCCACCAGACTCGGGGATGACATCACTGGGTCTTAGAACAGTTTCTAAAAACAAAATGATTTGATTAAAAAGTTTTAATTGCATTTTCATCAGGGGAGAAGGGAACATGGGAAGGTATTAAAAGCATACACTGCAATTCAGCTTTAATGATTACAGAGCTGCAATGATTTGTGTCTTTTATATCTGCCCGGCGTTCACTTGGTTGGCATTGGTGGATGGGCATGCCTCTGGTTATTTAAATTCCAGCGCTATGAGAAAGTTGACATATGACATATGCACTGTGGGAGGGCTGAAGGTGAACATGGAGGGACACATAATAAAACATGTCTGTTAAAGTTTGGTCATTTGCCCCTCCAGGTTTAGTTTAGTATTTGGCTCATAGAAACCTTAAGTTTATCTTGTATAATCTTGAATTATTGTTTTCTTTTAACATAGCAATCAGGTATTGTGAAAGATGTCAGCTGATTAAACCGGACCGATGCCACCATTGTTCAACTTGCGATGTGTAAGTCTTTATACTCTCACATATTCTCTGAGAATCAACTCACATGTAGGGCAAGCTCATACAATGGCCACTGATGGAGTAGTTCAAGAAGGAGATCAGTTAAAGAACTCTGGGCTCATGAAATCTTAAAGTGGACCTTTACCCCATTGGTAAGCCCCCTTGACCCAGCATGGCTCTGCTGAATCACTCGTTCAGGGCTGCAGAGCTCAGGCTTCTGCGCATTCTCAGACAGGCAGAGCTCGTACAGCGGTACGGAGTTTCAGTTAGGAGAGATGGGGAAGGACGGCTTCAAACTGCATTAAATCACCTCGCACAACGTCCAGCCGTCCTCACTCTAGTTAGATGTGGGAATATGGGTAGCTCTACCTAGAGCGAGGACGGGAGGATGGCTGGAAGCTGTATGAGGTGATTTAATGCAGTTTGAAGTCCAGTCGTCCTTCCCCATCTCTCTTAACTGAAACTCTGTACCTCAGTATGAGCTCTGCCTGGGAGAGAATGTGCAGAAGCCTAAGCTTTGCAGCCCTGATCGCGTGATCACAATTGCAATGCTTTCCAGGCTTGAATGCAAATATTAAAGAAATGCATATTTTTATATATATTATTAATTATGCATTTCTTTCATTTTTGCAAAAGGTGAACTTATCCTTTAAAGCCCCTTGCAACAGTACATATATTGCAGGTAACCTCACATATCTACAAGTGGAATGTTTGTGGTCTCGCCTTTCCTACCCGGGCACATATCCACAAGAAATGAACTAGTTGAGAGCCTTAAAGCTGACCTTCAGGCCCCGTTCACATTGAGCGGTTCGCAAATCTAGCTCCATGCTGTTTGGTCAGCAGCCAGAAGAGTGTAGTGCCATTTGTCTGTGCCAGTAGGTATTCCACAACCCAAGCATCTTATACAAGCCACCTCAGGAGACTTTCTGAGGTGCATGAGACACTCCAGCTATAAGCATGTATATTGCCTGGAGTCTTTTCTTTAACTTCTGTAGCTTCCGTTACACACTTAGTTTATTTTTAGGGAAAGCATTTTCATATTTTGCCTCTGGTATCCTCTTACTTTGAAATGTGTCTTGCAGGTGTGTGCTGAAGATGGATCATCATTGCCCATGGTAGGTACAGTGGATTTTATTATGTGTGTGTGTTTTTTTTATATGCTGTGCTTTTGGTTTTAACTGGTCTTTTTTTTAAATGTAGGGTGAATAACTGTGTGGGATTTTCCAATTACAAATTCTTCCTGCTGTTCCTCATGTACTCCTTGCTGTACTGCCTGTTCATTTCTGCCACAGTGCTGCAGTATTTCATTCGCTTCTGGACGGTAAGGGGTTAGTTCCCAATGCTGCCTAATGTTCCAGGGAATCTCATAAAGGTTCACTCCATGGGATATTCCACTGACATAATAAAAATATATAGATTTTTTGCAAATTGCTCCTTAGTGTAAATTAAAATAAAAAACTCTGTGTGGGATTATAGAGTTTGGAAGCTTTGCCATCGGGGTAATGGGCATGCACCCCATTATCTGTTAATGAAAATATACATATGATTATATATATTGGGGGGAATTTATCAAAACTGGAGCAGACAAAATCTGGAGCAGTTTCCCATTGCAACCAACAGGCATCTCTCTTCAGTTTGCTCAGGTAAGATTTGAAAATGAAATATGGAAGCTGATTGTTGCAGTGCAAATCTGCTACAGATTTTGTCTGCTCCAGTTTTGATAAATCCCCCATTGTGTTCTGTGTTGCTTTTTTTATTTTATTTTTTGCACTTGTTAATTACAGTAGTTTACCGTATTTAATGTTTTGTGTTTTCATGCCATGTCCCATCACCAATCTGAGCTTACAGATGTTTATTCTGCCACTGGGCGAGTAGATAACCCAGCCTGTATGACATATCACATATACATCTCAGCTCTGCTTTGTACCCAGTTGCACAGAAAAGTTCATATAAGTTTAATATTTCTATCTTCTTGGAACTCGGGGGCAGCTAAGAGTCTGGGCTTAGTGCAAACCCAGCCACGCCAAGCCACTCTCCCCGGCCCAATCAGTGGCAGCAGTTGCAATGGGGGCATTCCCCGCACTTTTGTAATGTATAGCTGCGTGGTGGGAAATGTGGCTGCAGCCACTGATTGGGATGGGAGGGAGGATGAGCGGCAGCCACAGTTTTGAGCAGGCTTGGGCCAACTGGGTTCACTCAAAGCCCAGGCTCATCACTGCTCATGACCAGGACTCAAGTTCAGTAGCAAATATGCCCTTCTTTATTACTGTGTGATAAATAACAGCTCACATCTACTAATCAGATTCCAGATTCAGGCCTTTACATTTCAGCCATTAGAAAGATGGGATCATTGTGGTCATCACACACAGTTCTATAGGGTCCAAATGGCCAGTCATAATTCAGTCTGATCTTACACAAAAGGAATTGCATGGTGACCTGTATTGGGTTTGTTGGTTTCTTTGTGATTTTTCCCATCTTCTAACAATTATTCAACTGATAACTGAACAGGAAATTGTCTTGAACCCAACATTGCCTCCTTAAACTGAAGGTATTTGTATGTCCTCCATCACAAATCCAAACAAAAAAAGGGTTTATACCAAACTTTAGGATCGTGGGAAGAACATTAATATAATTGCTGCATGTGCAAAGTGTGCTGGAAACCCTTGGCAGCACATGTGGAATGCTTACATCTTGTCTGACATTTACCTCTCCCATACATCACCCTGTGTGTCTTTCTCCCCATACCGCCATCTGCTGATCAAACCATTAAAATGTCTAATGAATTGTCTCTGTTTGCGTAAAGCTTTGCCGCAGCAAATCTGAAGAGTCTTGTCCCCAGGTAAAATATCCAGCCAGCGATTTATTAATGTCCATCCAAGCTTCCTTCAAGAAGTAGTTCTTAAAGTGTACCTGTCACTTATATGCTTTGGAGACGGTTAATGGGTTTGTTCGAATAGTAGGAGCTAGTGGCCTCTATTGCCTTGTTCAATGCGACAGTCTAAACAACAGTGATGAAGTGCAAACTGCATTGACCCATAGCAACCAGTAGTTAAACATATTTCCTGATTGTATGCTATGGTTTCCTGTGCTTTGCATTTTACCATTGTTAAGTGAATAAGGCAGCTAAGTGTAATATACTGTTAGTCAAATATTGGTTTTCCCTGTGTTTACAGTGGGCAGTAATACACTTTAAAAACCTTTCCATACGATGTACTGATGGATGATACCCTGTCTAGCTGGATCTATAAATTCCTTTCTCAAATACCCCCAGTAGACGGTTTAACATTTTATAACCTATATTGGCATGAGTTCATCTAGCTAATCTTTTTAAAGGCTGTTCCCCCTTTTCTTGGGAATATCAAGCGGACAGGTTGGGGATATTTGATAATGGAGACATTGTCTGTAGAATTTGTTCTATTTAGTTGGTGTGCATAGATAGTCAATGTGATAAGCTGCACATATGCAGCATTGATGGACATTATGCATATATCTGGGTTTACCTCCTGTGCCTGCAGTTTGTAGACGAAAGATGCCATGTTCTTTTTTGCCCATGCATATACTTATGTGTCCTTTTGAAATGAAACTGCAGCTAAATCTTTTTGTTTGGTAATATTGTTGAAGGGTTAGAGCCCCTATGAACGTTTAATTGCTGTGTTTCCCCATTGCTTCTCATTTCTTTTCTATTTGACAGCCGTTACTCAGAGCAGGAAATTAGGTCCTACTGCTTAAAGAAGAACTCCTAGAAAAAAATGTTATTAACCCTTGCAGTGGGTCTACCCCTACACTACAAAGGTTAAGTGCTTGTTTGTGTCTAGGTGCTAAAAAAGTTATACCCACCAGTCCGTTGGAGCCAGCTTGTTCTTAAACTGGTGTCTTGAGCGTCTCTCCCCCTCTGCTGCAGCGCTCTAAGGATCCTGATGTCATCATGCTCTATACACTGTGTATGGATGTGGGGACACCGACAGAGCAGTCCACCTGTGCAGTGGAGAAGGAGACACGCTTCAGCAATCACAGAAGCAGGGAGCCACTTAGATAGTTGGGTGAGTATAACTTTTTTTTTTTAAGCACCTAGACACAAACGAGCACTTAACCCTTGCAGTGCTGTGGTAGCCCCACTGCAAGGGTTAATCTATTTCTAACCAGAGTTCTGCTTTAATCCTCCACATTAAATTGGAATTGGATGCATTGGTAGAGAAAAAAATAAGGTTTGTTGTGATAGCCATTGGTGTGTGTAATCAAGCTAACTCCTACTGTCCTTCCCTGTGGAAGTGACTGTCTTTCCAAACTACCGTACATTTTCAGCACCTGAACATATCTGTTTCTGTGGTCCAGAATCTGTCCCCATGATCTGCAGCTTGACCTGACCCATAGAGTTTGTACCCAATACTTAACCCAAGCTTGCTGTGGCAGCCTTGGTAGATGTAATGTTTAATCCTTGAATACATATTAAATATCTAGTGACATTTAATTCATGAGCAGGCAGTACGCCTTTCCTCAAGTTTCCATAGTGGGTACATAAGCCACACCTTAAAGTAACACTAATTAACAAAAATTGAAAAACATGGTCTAAGTACCCAAAGTAAGCTGTCGAGCAAACCTCACACTGCAATGGTTGAAGCATATGATGATTATCCAGAGTTTTTATTACCTGATACACACACAAAAGTCTACCAAGTCTGTGATTGATCTCTTATACGGACTCAGGAGATAGGTGGCTACACCTATATAACAATATTCTTAGAAGATTTGTGTTGTGTACTTTCACAAGCTAGAAGTACACACAGGCAGTTATTCTACAAGAATCACCTGTCTTTTACCATTATACAGTAGCTGCATGTGTCCTCAAATACTGTTTTCAGTATTAGTCTGAGGCCAGGAGTGTAACCCATATGGCAATGCATAGTCAATGTTTTACATGTCAAATTGTCCATTTAAAGGGGCAGTAGTCTGGTGAATTAGAATAGAGTCTCTACTTATATTAGAAGACGTTTAAAGGAAACCTGTATAGTATACAGTATAGCGTCCTTTTATGTCCATGGAATTAAATGCACTTTATAGAAGAACTCCCCTAAGCACTACTTGTAAAATAACTTCAGTGCAGTTATAGAAGTGGTATTATTTGTTTTGCTGGTATTTATTGGTTAGGTGGCTACCAACACCTCGTCTATATGATTAAAGCTGAACTCCAGGTATAACTGTTTATGCATAGCTACAATGGTCCAGCTTGGGCTAATGTAAGTATGCATGTTTTGTGTGCTTGTTTGGCACAGCGACTATTCAGAGAATGCCTAGTATTTTTATCGATGAATACATCACTTTGTCTGATTGGGTAAGAGCCAAATTGTGATGTCAGCACCCCACTTCCAATCAGAAAACACCTTCTATTAATTGATTAAAATACTAGGTGTTCTCTGAATGGCCCGTGTGTTGAGTGAGCGGCTTTCTGTGCTTTCAGAGCAAAGGGAAAGCTGCTCAGTACAGGACCTAGAAGATCGCTGTCAGCACTGTAGTAGCTCCCACATAAAAAGATTGTATAATACATTGTGGTACCAATAATCTCTGAGGAAGATTTGCAGACAGCTGCAGCAAGCTAGATTTGAACAGGCCCCATAGGGTACCCTACCTAACAGACAGACACAAGTGGGAATATACAGGAGAACCGTGTGAAGCGTCTCCCCAGGCTGAGCAGGTATGAAACATAAACTTGTCAGGTTAAGCAGTTTTGACCTAGGCAAGAAAAGGCTCTGCTTCCCCAGTATTTCATTGTTGTCAGTATAATATAGCAAAGAGGAGAGCACGGACGCATTTTCAGTGTGTCAAATCCTGGACTGAATGTCTGCATCTCCCCCCTAAGAAATTCCACATAAAATATTGTTATATATATTCTATTAACAACTTCTTGTTTCTTCTATAGACCAGGGTTCTTCTTAAATGTGTGCAGATAGAAATGTATTTCATACATATTTTAATCTCATACCTCACTTTGGTGATTTTGAAATAAAATTGAATGTATCCAAGTGGGTACTTATTTGCATCGTTTGGGTTTATATTTTTATGTTGGATACTAGTAGCTATTAAATCTCAAAGGAAGCAGATTTAGGGAATATGATTGTATGCATGTAAAACTGCCCCTTTAAAATGTGACTTAAAAGTGTGCCATCTATTTGTGTGTTTAAGCCATGTTTGTATGCTTTTATTACTCAGCAAACTCACAATCTTTCTTTTCTAATAATTCCCTCTCCTTTTTATAGAATGAGCTACCAGACACACGTGCTAAGTTCCACGTCCTTTTCCTATTCTTCGTGTCGGCCATGTTCTTCATCAGCATACTGTCTTTGTTCAGCTATCACTGCTGGCTGGTTTCGAAAAACAGGTCAACTATAGGTAATAATCTGTTAATACTACGTTTGTTTTTATAATTATTTACAAAGAAACCAGAATAGAATATGGCCAACATATGGTATTGTTTAAGTGGTGTGAATATCGAGCATATAGGGATATACCCTAGAAAATTAGGAAGTTAGAAATGGATAGGAATTACAGCAAGATGGTATAAAAAAAAAAATCTGACTATAAAATTAGTTTAAATGAAAAGACAAAGGACTGTAGCGGGAATGAATTGTGTGGGAATATGAAAGTACCTTAAAGAGTGCATTTTTAATAATGTTTAGCTTTATGTTTTATACCATCTTTTCCATATTTCCTTTCTGTACTTCCTAATTCTTTATGGTATATCCATATACAGTTAATACTAGGGATGCACAGATACTTTTCGAGTACCAGTGCAGATACTTGGCATTTTCATGAGAACTACCAGGGTTGCAGAGGTTGCAGCTGGGACCTGGCTCTGGTGCTCCACCACTGTCCTAAAATCATTAGTCTGTATTGTTTTAGAAAAACTGTCCCATGACAACAAAAATGTATCAGTACTCGTACTTGTAAGTACTCGGCAAGTACCAGTACTCGTACTCACAAAACTGGTATCTGTGCATCCCTTTTATTTTATATTTATAAAAACAAAATCTTACATTAAAACAGTGATGTACAAATCCCGGGAGCTCAGTGTGCTCCTTACAAATGGCAGCTGCCTCCTAATTTTTGAATTTTTCTCTAGTGTAGTCTTGGAGCTCACAAGTATCGGTACATGTACTCGTACTTGTACCGAGTACTGTACTTGGTATCTGTGCAGCCCTAGTTAATACTCTAATTTGACGTGTGTAAGTGGCATACACATATAATAATGTCATTTGTAGCCCTGATGAAGGGGGACCCTTTAAACTCCCAAAATGTGTTTCCTTTTTATGATATAAGATTCTGGATTAAATTGAATGTGAACTTTATACATTCTGCTTTTGGCGTCTTTCTCTTTGTGTATCCAGTGCCCCTTCGAACATAGGACTGATATTAGGCCACCGTTCCTGGGAGAGATGACTAATGAGAATCATTCTCTCTACACCACTTAAAGAAAAAAAATTATCTGGGTGAGTATAACTGTTATGTTCGCACCTAGACAAAAACGAGCTCTTAACCCTTGCAGTGATGGGGTAGCTCCACTGCAAGGGTTAAGTGCTCGTTTTTGTCTAGGTGCGAACATAACAGTTATACTTACCCAGCCTTGCAGCCAGCTGACTGCTAGAGTGCTGCCTCCAGCCTGTCTCGTCCTCCGCTCCAGTGATAGTATGTCGCTCGGCGTGCTCATATCCAATACACAGTGTATTGGACAAGATGACTTATGAAACCTTAGACCACTGGAGTGGAGGGGAAGAGAGGCTGGAAGGACCGATATAACAGCCAGCCATCTCCCAGGATCAGGTGAGCATAACTTTTTTATTTTTGCACTTATACGAAAACAAGCACTTAACCCTTGTAGTGCTGGGGGTAGTTCCACTGCAAGGGTAAGGACATTTTTTCCCCCAAAGTTCTTCTTTAAGGCCTGACTGAGAACACCCCTACTGCTTTTAAAGTTCCAGCGCCCCACACTTTCTGCTTTTCGTTTGTCATTAGAGATGAGTGATGGAGATGGGTTAACCCTAATCGCTGTTAGCATTTTACAGGGGAACAATATTCATTGGGGTTTTTTAACCCATGCAATCAATTGTTCCTTCCAGTGGAGGCTAGCGGAGTCAGTGACCTCCCATACATGGCCAGATCACACATACCTTTTATGTTGCATGTGTCAGCTGTACACTAGGTATTAGTTTAATACAAAACATCTTTCCACTTCAATCAGCAACCTTAGAGATTGTGTTGTGAATAAATGAAATCCTGTATTTGAATAACTTGGCTTTGAACATTTATCCCCGATGTTGAAGATTGCATGCCAGTCTTGTATAAATGTAAGCTGCTAGACAAACTGCATATGAAACTTCTACTTCAGATTAGTTTTTTTACAATTTGATCAAACTCTTCGTCTATAGCCTACATAATCAACACATATTTGAGATCTTGCACATCTTTAGGCTTACTGAAAAGTTTAACTTTTTTACTGTCACAGCCATAATGCCAACCATGAGCGTTGTGGTTCCTTCTCCCGCCCCCTACATCACTATTGTGTGCTATAGGGTTCTTTGAACCGTGTGAAGGAGCCACTTTGCAGGACGCGGTTCTCTTTAAAAATCGTGACAGTTGCTTTTTAAAATAATACCTTCTGATCGTTCCATGAAGGTCCTCGTTCACTCACTTCCTGTTATAGGGTGACAACTCTATGTCCCTATCTCCTAGTCGTGCTCCTGCAGTAGCACGAGCTTCCAGTGGAGTCTAGAATTGGCCATTTCAACATACATTATGGTCCACTTTTGCCACCAACATCCTTAGCAGTGCCTTGCAGTCTTTGTTATAGTGCTTGCATGTTTGCATTACGTGGCTGCAAAAGGCTGCAATTTTCTACATGAAACCTGGACATTCTTAGTCGGATAAGCCACAAAATTGGACAATTCCTGCTGTATTTGTTTCTCCTGTGCTGGTTTTTACATTCAATTTGTTATTACTTGCTGCTATTGTTCTGTGACTATACTACTGCAGTTGCCAACTTTTGCTTCCTTTTAACAACTTTGCCAAATAAAAATAAAGTATTTGCAAAAAAGAGAAAACCTACCACACAACTCTGAAATAGTGAAGTGGTTAACTGGTATGTCATCTTGTGCAACTCTTGTGTTGCTAAATGTTTGGCGTGACAGTATGAATATACAGCACTGTTACTGAATGTCATGAAATGAGAACATTCTTCAAAGAAGACCTGAATGAGAACATTGTTCAATGCAGACCTTCCATGAAAATGGAAGGTCCGCTCTGTTGAAACCCCCCACCCTCGGAGTCAGATTGCCTGCAAAGGTGGTTTAAAAATAAAGCGGTTTCTAAAAAATAAAAAAAAAAGCCTCTGCCCCTGGCTTCTGGGAGGCTGTGGATGACGTCACCATGCCTCATCAATGCCACCTGGGATAGCTGAGCACTCGAAATCCTACATTAATGCACTAGTTCATTGCAGGGACATATTCTCATGGGATTTGCTGCACCCAGCTATCTCAGGAGGCAACATTGATGCATGGCAACATCACCTGTGCCACCCAGAAGCATCAAAAACTGGGGCAGAAGTATGGTGGGGGGTTTTTTAACGACAGCTTTATTTTTAATAATTTTTCGCCTTCCATTTTATTGGTTCCATGCAATTGAAAGTATACTTTATTCACCCAAGGTAGGGCAACCTACATCCTGCTGTCCTAAGTATACCTAAATAATAATGTTCTTTGTACAACCTCCGCCGCCTGTGTCATGTAATTATTTAAGTAATTACTACTCCTAGGATTCACTTTTGGGGGCGGCATGCTGTCTGCTTTATATGCACAACGATTTTTCAACCATACTAACCATTAGACAAGAAAAAAAAGATGCTTTCATTCATGTATACTGAACAAATAAGAGTCCTCTGACTCCTTTCAACCTCCCCTGTATCACCTTCCCCCCACAGTTCAAACTTAAATATTGAGGCTTGGTACTATCCCTGTTGCTACAGCCCTGCCTGTGCCCTAAGTGTGGTGCATTGACTTGCTAAGGATCTCCTTTCCTGATGTGGCTGGCTGTATAGCTTGGGGCTAAGCATCTCCCCTCAGCTCTTTAGGAAAGGTAAATATAGCAAAGGCACACCAGTAAAGGACAATGCAACTCATCAGATGTTCGAAGTAAACATTTCATATTATGATCTACAGTAATACCTTAGCATGCTTGTAATCCAAAGCGCTTGTATATCAAAGCGAATTTCCCCATAGAACATAATGGAAATTCAGATGATTCGTTCCACAACCTAAAAATATTCATATAAAAATAATTACAATACAGTACTGTAATATAATACCGTACAAAATATTTAAAAAATTAACCAATTACCGGTACCTTCAAGAGAGAGGAGGATTATTGTGTAGGACGACTTTCACTATCACTAACGGAATCACTGCCATCTCTTGACTCAATGGAATCTTTTTCATTTCGTGAAACCTTAACAAGGAATCTACCCAATGGGACATTGCATTGTCATTAAATAGACTCATCGCTCGCACTGCTACAGCCTTATTCGGGTGGCGCTTTTCTACAAAATGTTGCTCTTATTGCAAGACATTGCTTGTATATCAAGGCATCATTTTTCAGAAATATTTGCTTGTCTTGCAAAACACTCTCAAACCAAGTTACTTGTAAACCACTGTATTACTGTATTTTGCAGTGGCTTTAACACTTTTATAAACGTGTTCTTGGATCGTAGTACATTTTTTTATGTTTGTAATACTCCATAATGCGTTTGCTCACTTCCATTTTCTGCCTTTTGCAGAGGCTTTCCGCGCTCCATCTTTCCGAACAGGACCAGAAAAAGATGGCTTTTCTCTGGGCTTCAGCAAGAATTTGAGAGAAGTGTTTGGGGATGAAAAGAAGTTTTGGCTGCTCCCTGTATTTACAAGGTAAGCCAGTCAGATGGGGACACAGAGAAGGGAAGAAGTAACCTTTTATAAAGAATATAGGCACAGTATAATAAAATCGCATGGGATTTGAAAGAAGCAGCATAATGTGTCCAGTAGAATAAAACCTGTTTTTCGGTTTGTCTTCTGTCTCTTCCTTCAGCCTGGGGGATGGGTGTTCTTTCCCCACACGTCTTGTGTTTGGTGACCCAGAGCAAAATATTTCAGCAGTTCAGACTGACATTGCTAAGCAGTAAGTATCTTCTGCTCATTATTTACTTTTAATGCTATGAATAGAAATTACAAGTTGAAAAACAACAGAAAGCGCCAGAAATGACCACTCCACTGAAGGTTTCGCATGCAGGAGTGTTACGCTGCCCCACTTCAGCCAGGGAGACTGTGATATCTAGGGAGAGAACAAAAAACAAGGGGCACCTACCCTAGTCTAGATACATTTTATTGAAAGGCGGCAAAAATAGAAATAATACTCACAAGAGTAGATCACAATGAGCTTTCAGAAACCAAGGAATAGTAAACCAGGATGAGATGGATGAGAGCTGCACAGACAGTCCTGTGTACCAGAACAGAATGCCTACAGTGACGCGTTTCCAGGCTCACGCCCCTTTTCATAAGAACGTCTGATGAAGGGGTCGTGACCCCGGAAACGTGTCACTTTTGTGAGTATTATTTCAATTTTTGCCGCCTTTCAATACAATTTATCTACACTAAGGTAGGCACCCCTTGTTTTTTGTTCTCTTCCTAGAAATTACAAGTTGGTTATTCAAGGTATGAAAGATAGAAGAAAATGATCATGAGCAGATGGTGTGTGATTTTAATACAGTGGTCCTAATTTATCAAGCTGCAATGGTGCTTAAGGCATGCTAAATTGACACATGATAATGTTGACTGAGAAGCCAACTCCCGAGTTTAAGGTGTCCTAAAGTGAAACTGAACGTGGTCAAGGTTTGCGATCCTATAGGTAACATAAAGAATGTTAATTTTACCTAAGAAGTACCTTGAAAAATAAAACTTTTGCCTCGAATTCCTCTTGAAAAATAGCAGGGCACACCTGTGCAATATGTCCAATAGCTGTATATCTACAGTATGAGCTCATCTACGTCACTGCTGCCTCTAACTGATAGTGCCCCAAGATTTGGAGCTAGATTAAGTGATATAACTGCTGTGCTGCTCACCGTTGTTGCTGCAGGAAAAGCTGCGGTCCAATTCTGAATGTCACCCCAGCACACATATACAGTATATAGTAATCCTTCCACTCTTCAGTACACCACAATGCACAAATTTAGTGCAGGATCCTAATCTAGAGAGAAGATGTCCCTGCACAGTGCAAGAGCATCTTCTCATGACATTTTGGATACTTAGCATTCTCAGGCTCCAATGAAAGTCTTGTGAAGCCACCCTCTCCACCGCGGAAGTCAGATGTAAGGTAAGTGTGTTTTCAGCCTTTCTCTACAAATGTATTTTTCTTTTACACAGCTATGGTGCAGTGTTTTGTCATGGAGGTGAGAGGCCTGATGTAATATGCAGACCTTGCTTTTTATGATAAAGTCCACTATAAAGACCCTTTCAAAAGGCACTGGCTTTTTAACCCAAAGCATGTCAAAACCTGTGTATAGGTGAATGTAGCATTATTTAGACTTTACCATTACATTGATGTATGTATATTTGTTTTATCAATCTGTATCTACATGTATTCTCTGTTTAATTCACAGTGTGGGGCCGAGTCAGTCTTTTCCAGCCAGACCGCTGAGTGAGTCACAGAACAGGCTGCTGGGAAGTGACAGTCATTGGGCTGATGGGAGCGCGGGTGAAGATCAAACACAAAAGGGTAAATTGGGGAGTCTGGGAAGAAGTGGCACATCTAATACTTTTGAAATTTTGTTTGAGAAGGATCAGCCAATAAATCCCAGAACAGATATTTGTTACACGATTGCATGAGAGCCTGCCCTGTATATTGCATCAATTGATGCAGCATAAATGGGTATATTTGATTTTAACACCTCCGCTATTGTAGATTCTGTTACCTGTCTGTATTAGGAAGCACGGTAACCAATGATGACTGGTATAAGTGTGCTGCCATTACTGATCTCTTTAGGTTTTTTTTAAAATACCATTTGTCTTGCTGTCACATTGACTCTCCAGCCTCAGTACTTATGCCAGAACTTCGTTTACATACTTATTCCTGGTTATCAAAAAAAGTGAAGCCAGAGCATCAACATGACAACCAGGTTAGCAGTGAGGGCTAGTTCACACCAAGTGCGGAGCAGATGCAGAGCTGTTACGGAACGCATAAAAAATGTATCCAATATATTCCAATGGTATTTTGGGCTCTAGTTCACACCACAGCGTTCAGTTCCAGAACATGTGGAAAAACTGCAGCACGCCCAATTTTTCTGCTCTGGAACGCACCAAAGCGCATCAGAAATGCATGGAACGCACTGAAAGACCATTTTAGGCTAAAAAAAAAACCTGGCACGGAAAGTGTCAAAAACGCAGCAAAACACACTCCACAGCATGTGCAGAAACTCATGCTGATATAGTCCAGATTTGTTGTGAACATGCCCTGATAGCACACGTCTATTTTAATAACTGGTTCCCTTTGAATGCTGTATACTGGTTCCAAGGCAGTCGCCTCACTCCCAGGCATGCTTCACTGGCCCAGAACTAGGCTATTTAGCTCCATAGTAGTACAATCGCTGCTTCAGTTGAAGGCTGTTCAGATGGCCTTTAGCTTGATGACAGATTCCTTTTAAATATAGGCATGCTGACTATGCCAGATGAAATGGATTTACTGAAAGACAATAATAGGTCTTGTGAATATAGACTGGAGGAATGAAAAACATTCCTGTAACTTTGTACTTGAAATCTAGTTCACATAAGCAAGAGACACCACGGTCCCTAGTTAACTAATCGGTGTAAAATGTAGTGTTCTCCAGCCAGATTTCAGCTTACTAAAGTTGGATGAGTGGTACATGAATTTTGATGAAGGTTACAATCTGCACTGCTCACATGAGCTCTTCTTTTATTACCTAAGCCTGTTTGCCTTGCCCCAGACTTGATTCGTGAAACCTCTTTTGTTCTGCCTAATTACTGCAGAATTTGTAACTTAGACTGGAGGGCAGTGCCAACAAAGGTTGTCCCAAAGAAAGCGTTGCACAACCCTTCACATTGAATCACGCAGCATTTCCTAAAACCTCAAAAATATAGCCAAAACATCTGATATTCGTCATTGTACATTAGGCTGCGTGGACCAGTCTACCAACAAGGCCGGATCGATGCTCAGGTTAGTATATTTCTGTTAGTTGAGCCCCTAGAGAAAATGGTTAACTTTTTACATTCCTGGAGTACTTCCAGAGTCCTCCAAGTCCAGAGCTGTTTAAAAGCCACATTTACATACAGTATAGTCAAGTGGTGTAAAAATAGTGGTAGATTTATCCAAGCTTTCTGTCTCACAAATCTGTTTACCGGGGGCAATGCATTTTACATTTCAGACCTTTTTGATATACAAGTTCTAGGAAAAGCAGTAAAATGCAAAATTAGTTGTGTATGATGTCCTTTTTAGGAGTATTGTTAGGGTCTGACATATATGTCAGCTGTGACAAATACTGTTTGATAACATGATTAATACATGACTGTAGTGAGTTTCTGGTATCTATAGTGTATTCGGGATTTTTAATGTTCATCTGTCTCTTTTGTCCTTTTAGAAGAGAAAAACCATGTATCTGTGTGTGTGGAGAGCTGATCATTACCACAGCCATTCCTCAAACTGGGGAATAGGTAACATTTCATTTTTGTAATGTTCATTTTTATTATAGTAAATAAAGATGTCTGTAAATAGCAGTGGATACAACAATCCCAATATCTAACATCATTCAATTTACAAAGTTACAGTTTAAAGGCAAAGTTATTATTTCTTTAAAATAATAATAGATGCACACATATGCGTGAAATAACAAAAATGTACATTTCCTTTTTTTCTTTGCATTGGAGCAAAAACCAGATTGTTTTTTTTTTTGTGCAAACGTTCGTTTGAAAATCTACCAGTGTATACCCTACTTTAGGTTCAACTCCCACATATAATGCCACCTGCTGTGAGAACGTTAATTAACATTGCAGCAGAAAACTAAGAATGTGCACCTCTGTGCGTCCATAGTTCATAGGGTTAGATTTAACTTAACTGCCGCATTCTGACACTGCCTAATTTGGTCTGGTTGTCTAAATGTCAATGCCCTTTGGGTATAAAGGGCTAAAACAAAATTCCCTGTTACGTCATATGGCACTCTGTTACTGGAACAGGCAGTGCTGTGTACAAAATGACCGTAGTAATTATGTTAGTGTGTACACCGTCATAGTAAATCTGTAATTATGGAGAACCTTGACAATGTTGATGGGTAGCATACATTACAAAGAAACATTCTGTTCGTGCCCACTGCTGCAGATGTCATTCACAAACCAAAGTAATAGAACCCTTGAAGGACAACTGTTGTCCTTTAATTATTCCCCCACTCCCTGAGTGCAGCCTGCCTGGTGATATACCGACCTGTTCCGGGGTTCCTTATTGTACGTTCCTGCCCAGCGCAACCCAGCCTTTGTAAAGAAACTGTCTCAGCCAGGTCCTCTTCTGTGCAGTGCAGGGCACAGATGCATAGTGAAGATCAATGGACAGGGAGGAAAGTAAGTATTTTACCTGGCAGGGGGTGGGGGGGATTAAATAAAGGACAACTCTACTAAAGATAGACTTGTCCTTTAAAAAGTAAAATAGCAAAAGGTTTTCCTGGCACACTCACAAGCTAGCATGTAAAAAAACTTGTCTCACACTAAGGTTAAAAACAGAGGTTTGGATACACGTCTTCTGTATCCAAACCTCTGTTTTTAACCTTAGTGTGAGACAAGTTTTTTTACATGCTAGCTTGTGAGTGTGCCAGGAAAACCTTTTGCTATTTTACTGTTTAAAGCCCATTCCATGTGCACCTTACTGTAAAGCTGGTGACGAATTCATGAGTGCGTTTGTCATCTGTTTTGCTTGTTTTGTTTGTCCTTTAAAAAGACCCTGTCACCTGGTGACCCTGTCACCAACATAATTGCAGGTAAAAGCGCAGATAATCAAGCATTTTATGATTGCTTGCAGTGTGCCTTTTGAACTTGCATATGGCTACTGCGGGCGAGTCCATTCCGTAGCACAGCCCCGTCTTTCCTTGCACATCATAGCTCTCTCCTCTTCTGTGAGCGTGTCATTACTATCTGCGCTGGCCCAGCTCCATTGCCTTCCCCTCACCTCCATACATAAACTTTTATATAGCTGCCAAGGGGAGGGGTGAAGTGGAATACTATAGTGTAGAGTGAAAGTCTTTTGGGGCTACTGACATCACATCGAAGATGTCGGCTCCCAGCAGCAGTGTCAGGGCTTGTGGATATCTACACAAGGGAGGCTTTTACAGGTAAATAACATGCACAGAATATTGTAAATGCTGATTTTTTTAATATTCTGGAAAGATTTTTACTTGAATGAATGGTCTGGTGGTAGGATCTCTTTTAATTAGTTGGTTAAGCTACTCCAGCCTTACCTTAAGTCTTGCATAGATGTACATGCCCCTCTCCTGTACTGAAATGTCTTACTACACACTGTAAGCTTTTTATAGTGTGCATTAGAAACAGCAGCAGGTCAGATAAAGCCTGTCTCATTTCCTGGCTAGAGGAAATCCAGTATCATCTAGCTCTTTCCTCTACACTTAATTTCTTGGATAGTAAGCACTGATGTGGTGATATAACCTGTGCTTTCCTCTTTCACACAGGCAGCCTGCTGCACACCATGTACTGGAATATCACGGATCCTGGTGCCACGAGCCTTCATGCAAAATGTCCAGAGAGCAGTGTTTCCATGCGCTGCTGCGATTGCCTCAGAAGCACCATGAAAAGATAACTGTTGCCTTAATATCCTCCTAGTGCATTAACGCAACATAATCACCCTTTTACACATTGACGTTTATTGCCTAGCGACTTTTTACCTAAACATTATTGTATCTTCTCGAGTTCAGTGTTTAGTCTGCATCCAACTTTTACAATGCAATAACCCTTTTTAAAGTCTGTCTACAACGTTCTGATCGAAGCAGTTATTGCCAAGACTTTGCCATGAGGGAGACCAGGCTATGCCGAGGCCTGGCCTTTGCACCAGCAACGTCACCGGTCAGAACCCAATGAATATACGTAACCTCTGCTAGTTCTGAAAGGTCCCCACAGCCTTGCAAGTGGATCACTGGTACAATGTTCATATGCATGAAGTCAAGGACAGCCATTTTGTGGACTCAACCAGTATTCAGGACTATGCTGTCCATGCTTCCTTACAGAGCCATTGACTTTAGTATCACCTCACGGTGGGCTTAATTGATGGAAAATGAGTTGTCTTAGCAGCCAGATTTTCCATTTTAGCTGTTAGTCCAGGTTAGAGCATGGAGAATCTAGCTGGTACGGACAACATATAATGCTTTTCTTTCCTACATGACGTCCAGTGAGGGCTATTGGTAAAACTGTAGTGACAGAGTGTTGCCTGTAGCAGCTGTTAAAACGTTTTCTGTAGTTTTGCTTTAGAAAAATGTCTGGAATGTTGTTGGTGCAGGCAGCATGTCGAATTTCTTCTGCACCATTTTATGTTTCGCCTAACATGTATGCGCTAAAAGCTCCAGGGGAACTTGTACTATGTTTTGTTGCAGTCTGGCTGAGAACCCATTACCTGGACAGACTTTTATGTTTAAAAGGTGTTTACCTTCTTAGGAGCAAAGTGGAAATCCCGTGACTATGCCCCCTGACAAATAAGGGTCCCCTTGAACTGCTAATTCATTCAGACACTTGCTGCACTTGGAATTGATAAGCTTTTTCCTCTGTTACAAAACAAATGGGTTTCTGAGGCCAGGGTTGCAGCAATGCAACAAATGGGACAGCAGCATCATGATATCTGCTAGACTAACTGAAATTGGGAAACCCCTTTTAAAGGACCAGTTAATCTATTAGAAACATATTTATATAAAGGAGTTGGTAATAACATCCATGTTAAAGTGACACTAAACGCAGACATTGAACCTTTAAAAATGCATTCACGTACCCTAACTATTAACAAAAATGTATCTTATTTGTGTGTCACTTGGCTGTAGATCCTGAAATCATCTCTGAATTGGTGCTGACACTGTCCTTCCTTCTGGAGGGTGGCTACTTTTGTTCCCCATGGTCCCTGTGTGTGATGTAAAGTAGCCTCCGCTCCAAGCTCGCTCCTGTGATGGGCTACAATCTCATGTTTAGTTTACTAATTTATGTTGATATTTTAGTTCATCACGGGAGTGAGCTTGGAGCAGTGGCTACATTACAACATACACAGGGACAATGGTGAACAAAAGTAGTCACCCTCCAGAAGGAAGGACAGTGTCAGCACCAATTCGGAGATGATTTGAGAATCTACAACTGAGTGATACACAAATAAGCCTAATTTTTGTTAATTGTAAGGGTACTTAAGTACATTTTGACACTAAACTTAGGTTCAACTACGAAGTTTAGTGTCACTTTAAGTCTGCACAGAAAAGGGGATTTTTTTTTAACATAATTATCGCTCTAATTTAGCTGCCATTTAAGTATATGACTAAATTAGCTTTTTGGCAGTATTCATTCATGTGGACAGGAAGTCAGCTGTGTGCAGGAAAATATTGTTCTCTACTATCCCACTTTCATTTTAAAGAGAACACGTTATTTGTATGTGTCACGTATGAGGCTCTATTACCCAGCTCCTGAGCTGCATCATGTACAGTGACATGTCTGTCCCTGTACTAGCACCCTTTCAGTAGTTAGGTTTCTGCAGCCTTCACCAATGGACAGAAGCCTCGTCTATGATAGGTAACAGTAGTCCTGATGGGTCCCTCTGTTTTATAACTAACAATTAAACCTTTAAACATTTCTCTTGCACTTGACATGCCCTTTGCTTTTCTCACATCAGGCAATGTGCCATCTCTGCTTAAGACGCAGTAGCACAGTATACATTGGTCTCCTGATGCAATTGTTTGCCAAACAAAGTGTGGGCCATGTATGAACTGTCATTCCTCCTGCCTGTGTAGAGGAACAATTGTTCATACCCTTTGTGCTTATGTGTGAATTGGTGGTGTAGCTGTTTGATATACCTAAGGGAATGGAAACTTAGATAATATACATCCCTTTCATAATGTCTACGTCCCTTACCAGCTGCATAAAATGGAGCAGAATATTTGTAGTATGAACGTTATCATGCATCGTATTAAGGCAGGCCAATAGGTTTACAATGGGCTGCCAATGCACCGTAAAGCTGTTTCAGCATTTTTGTAACACAACATATGGCAAGTGCATTGTGATGCAGTCCAGGCGCAGTGCAGGCTACTGTATTTGTCCATTAGAGTCCTATTCTAAATGAATGGCACTGCATCGCACCTCACATATGATGCACATTGCTGTAATGTGTGGTACAACACACTACTGCAATGCATACATGTGAAGAATTTCATATGGCGTAAGATTGCAACAGGTATAGGTTTTGCACCAAGGCCCTGTGGCTTTTTAGCTGTGCCCAGGGCTGAGCCAGGGGTAGATCACGCCCGAGACAGCCATTTCTTTTACGCCCCCTCCCCTCTGTGCAAAGATGGCTGCCACAGGAGTAGTGTTGCCTTTGTGTGTACACGCACATACACAGGCAGTCAGGTCAGTGATGCACAGCCTGTTTAAAAGTGGACTTTTATTTAAGGAGGCCCGGCTCCTGCATCTGCCTGTGTGCAGCAGGGAGCTCAGTAGTGCCGAGTATGGCATTTTATCAGGGTTATTGGGCTGCACTGAGGATGGAGAGTCCTATATAGGCACGCCGACCTCAGTGACACCACCTACCGTGCCATCTAAGGCAGCTGCAATTGGCCTTGTTGGCAGCACGGCCTTGGCTCTGCTTCCACCAAAATGTACTTCTCCTTGAAGTTATTAGAAACTCTTTGTCGTGGTCCTTTAAAGTGCCAAGTGACTGATGACGGGGTTTCCACAGCTCCTTGCAGAGATGTATGTTATACGTTATATGTCTTTTGCCACCGTCCACTGCAAAGCATGCATATTATATGCAGGACAAGCACACTCCATACAGTGCATCAGTTGAAAACTAGTTAAGTCTTAAAGGAGAACTATGAGTTGCTTTCAGCACTTATTTATACTGCTTTTTATATTGTTTTATAAACTGTATTATGTCACACAACTTTACACAATTACTTCAACAAACCATTACATTTTTTACTAGCGGTTTTTCATCAAACTTTTACATTTTTATAACAGTTTCTGGTGTTTAGAATGTCATTACTTTGACCTGCAAGTGTTAATCATTAAAGAAGAACTCTGAAGTTTGGAAAATTCTGTAGCTGAAGGACTATGAATATATTAATTGATACAGAATAGTCCATAGGTCACTGGATCACAGAGTACACCATTGATGTGAGAGCAGGCAAGGCTGGTCAAGCTTCTGAAGACTGTATAAAAAAGGCATTGGTGATGTACAAGTGCAGTAACTTATAGCTACCAATCAGATTTCAGCTTATTGTAGTTTGATCAGGAAAAGTTCACTTCTGACCTGTAACTAGGGGGGCTGCTGCACTTTGCCCTCTTGAATAAGGTTGATCGGTGATAATCCTCGACTTCCAAACTTTCCTTTTTTAGATGTTTCAATATCGGTTTACCCAGAAATCATATTTAATTTGGGTTTTTGCCTGCAGTTACTATATAGAGAGATCTTTGTACATCGATTAGCAGAGCCAGAGAATGAGTCTCTTCCTAATTTGTAATAATATATTTAACAGTACTATGAACAAAGCAGGAGGAGTGAGACTCCTTGGTTTGTTTGTAAGAAGGGGGAGGGGGGGTGATTTTTCCAGCTATGTCTTCTGAGCCCCGTAGAAATATATATATATATTTCACACGGGTGAACGTCCTTATTCATGTTCAGAGTGCGGGAAATCCTTCCCTGAGAAATATAATCTTCTTAAACACCAGAGAAGTCACACTACGCAGCGTCCTCACTGCATTCCGACTCGGGAAATGTCTAATTAGACTTCATTAGAAGTATATATATATATAGAATTTAATAAGAAATTAGTATGTGGTTTTAAAGAGGGACTGAGCAAATCAATTCTTAACCCTTGCAGTGGGAGTGCCCCTGCCTCCAAGGGTTAAGTGCCCGCTTTGTCTAGGGAGCTAAAATAACAGTTATACTCACCCGAACTATGATCCTGGCTGGCACCTAGACCAGTCCCTTCAGTCTGTCTCCTCCACTCCAATGATGGTATGTACACTGTATAGAATGTGAAGACTCACTGGACCTTAGACTGCTGGAGCTAAGGGGGAGCAAGGCTGCAGGACCAATCTAGGAACCAGCCAGGATCGCAGTTCGGGTGAGTATTACTGTTATTTTAACTCCCTAGACAAAATGAGCACTTAACCCTACTGCAATGTTTAAAGTTTTACTTACCCCGAGTTCTTTAAGAGGTGAATAAGCCCGCTGGAAGCCACGCATAGCCTGAATATCAGTTTTATATGGACTAACATATTTTAAATCAAAGTAACTTTTCTGAAGACTAGAATCAAGAGGAATTGAGTGGTTACCAATAGTAATTGGTCAAATCCCTAATTGCTATGAAATCTTAGTAGAGAAATGGCAAACCACATTGCTGCGGGCAAAATCACTATTTTAAACAATAGCTTAATACTATATCTCTGGAGCAGGGGTAGGCAACCTTGGCACTCCACTACGAATCCTATTGTGCATTTGATTCTGGGAGTCATGTCCGTGGCTGCCAGTGTCTTGCAATGCCTCATGGGACTTGTAGTTCCAAAACAACCAGAGCTGCTAAGGTTGCCCGCCCCTCCTCTTGAGTTTTAACAAGAGCTTTATATTATGTCTGGATCTATGGCTTACAGTAACTGGTACAAATCAAAGTCTACTGTACAGAAAGTATGACATTTCGTGGTTTTGGGTGTTTAGGATCCAGGCAGGATGGTCCCCTCCAAAATGTAGGCTGTGCTTAGCCCCAGTGGTAAACCTTGCTTGATAGGGATGTCTATCTTATACTGTGTGTGCTTTTCTATAGAGAAGCCAACATGACAGCAGTGATCCTCATAAAGCCATAAAGATGTGTCACAACTGAGCCGGGTGAGGATTTTAGCGGGTGGAAAGTGGCTTGGAGAATTCTACCACACTGGCAGCTAAGCAAACCCACCAATGTTCATCCACAATTCAGTAATCACTCTTGTTTGTATTTGCCATTTAATAAAAGAGCAAAAAATGGTCGTCCTTTATTAAGATATTAATGCACGCCGATCTTTCCACCTTTCTTCAGCTGAGTGCTATGGTGTTTCTTCGTTCCAGTCCTGG